CCAATTTTAGTATATGTGCTGCCGAAGCGAGTACCAAATTTTATCAGAGCTATTCATTTCAAATGTTGTATCCCTGAATATCTTTTTGCACAAGTAAATTTTGTCTCCTTAACCAGATTGGTTTAAATTTACCTGGTTAAAATCTATCAATCAAAGTCCAGGCAGGAAATCAGAAACCATGCTAGGTATTTCAGACAGAGGGATTTAATTCAAGGAATTTGTCACATAGATTTTGAAAAACTGAAAGGGCAATGGAGATGCTGGAGAAGTAGATAACACCTGCTGGGGTAGGCTAGGGCAGGGTAGAGAACTAAATGAAAAAACTTCGTTGCCTGGAGGAAGTCTTCATTTGGTTAGTACCTAGGTCTCTGCTGGAGGTGTTGTATGGCTAGTGTTTATGCTAACAAGGGGCACAGTTGCTTAGTCCTGGTAGTACTGGAGGGATGGGGCACAGCTGGTGCTAAATATGCCAAAAGCCACTGAAGCTATTTTGTAGCTGTTATCTTTTGACAGTAATTGCAAATAGCAAGTAAGTCCTTTCTTTCACCTGCCTTCCAATCTCTAATTACCACAGCCTCCATTGGCCAATCCTAACAGGAAGGCAGCTGGTAAAGGAGTCTGGGAAATGTAGTTTCCAGACCTAGCCTCAGCATCTCAGAGCAGAATAAAAAAGGGTGAGCTTGGAGCTGAGAGCAAAAGATAAATGATCAGCACAAAAAGTAAATTTGTTAAGGTCGAGGCATTTGTTCTTTGTACAGACTTCAATATAAAGGTATTCTATAAATATTTCCTGACTGATTCCTTTGCAAAGGACCCCTCCCTGAAGCATATTTGGATTATCAATTTGGATTAGATTCTTATAAGAAAGGAGTTGCTCTTATTCTATGTTGAGTAAGATGCCTAGTGCAATGTCAGTGTTCAATAGACACTGTTTCTAAGAAAATTAATATAGTAAATCATTTCAACATCCAAGTCCCTCATCAGAAGTACTGAAATGTTTTTGTAGCTGGGGTCACAGTTTGAGTTTAAACTGCTTTTTGCTCTAGGATTTGAGCATGTTGAGGCACATTTAGAGAGCAGTAGAGCAGCCTATTTACAGAGGAAGGAAAAAAAATTCATCCTAAGCGAAGAGAAGTACAAAAAGTTCGTTTCAAGGTCAATTGCCCAGTGTTAGAGGAAAAGGCTTCGTGGGGCATGTTGTCTATTCCATGAACTCATGCCTAGGACTCCGGTCCTAGAGCTACAAATAAATCATATAATTATATGCTTCACTATGATGTACACAGGAGTTTTGGACCTGAAGACAAGAGCAACAGGAGATGGTGCCCAGGGAAAACTGTATCTTGGTACAGACATGAATGCCCTTCAAGTTTGGGGTTGGTTGTCTTGGCACAGACAGAACTACAGTGGGGGAGTTTTGTTGGCTTTGGAAACAACTGGCGAAAATACCTCAATACGCCAGAGGAGGGGAGGAGGAAGACAGTGAATGCCATGGAGTTTCTCAGAGGGCTAATTCTTAGAGTGTACCTATGCAAATCCCTGGAGATTCTCAGCATCATCTGGAAGAAATCTGAGTGTGGATGGGGGAAGAATGTGAGTCTACTCTTAGAGAGTTCTACCACAACCCCATTTTTATGCTTAATCTGCTGTAACTTGGGGAAATGGACTGTATTTGCATTTTCAATGTTTTAGGTCACTAGCTTCTCTAATTTGAAGCTGAGTATTTATTTGGTAAAGTCATCTTACATTATTTTAAAAATAAGAGTATCTTTATTTTACTTTCTTTTAGTAATGGTAATCACTATTAGTAATTAATTTTAGTTTTTGTCTTTTCAGTAGAATAGTACTGTGTTTTTATCTTATATGTACAGTGTAAAGAGAAAATCAGATTAAAGTTCAGATGGGCTTGATTTT